CGCATGTTAAAAAATGTATTGCAACTTATTAGGCTTTTGACTCTTTCCTCTCTCCTAAATTGTTTGCAGTTGTCCAGGAGGTTCAAAGGTTATTAGAGGTGAAGTGACATACATATCCACACAGCATGATCACGTTGGTTTCATTTTCCTAGGACCAGGCCAATATCAAGTATCACAGACAAGTATGCTATGCTTTAATCAAAGAGCAAGAGCTACAACTACGTGATTCAGAGGACTAGACAATCTTAAAAAGCACCCAGGCCACCCATTAGCCTAAATGGCCCTGAGCAGCCTTACCTGGTGCCTCCACTCACCATTTTCCTCTGTGTCCCCTTGAGAGATTTCAGCTTGGCCCTGGACTTTCAGTCCATGCTTGAGATATTTTGTATGGGCATCTGTTCCCCACCCTGTCTCTGGTCCTGCTTTCTGGATGGGCCTCTGACCTGCACTGTACATTTGTCTCCTGCCCTGTCTTCTGGACCAGCTGGAAATACTCCAGCTTTGTTGCCAGGCCTGTGTCCGGCCCTATCTCCTGCTGCTCCTGACTGGACTACCCGGATGAGTCCTGGATCTGACTTGTCCTATCGCCTTGCCGGGGACTGTCCACGGATCCTGGTACCAGCACCTGGCACTACCCGCAGTGTTCAGATACAGTGGGGTGGTGGCCTGGACAACATGGTCTATGTCTGGTGTCATTGTCACCCTTGGCTTCTGGTTCTGCTCCAGTGGTTCCCTGACAATAAGCTTTTCTACAAGAAGACTGCTAGATGAGAAGGTGTTTGCATTGGACTAACCCATGTGCACATACCTTGTCTCAGGAAGAAATAAATAATCAGGCCATGCACATGCATGAAAACTATGAAAAAGGACATGCACAAACTATGAAAGAGGAAAATCTTGCATGGACATGTTACCCATGACAGATCTGCATGTTCCCATTTCCAAGGCAACACCTACACTTGATGCTGATCCCAGCTAGAACTAGGCTGTGCTATTTAAGCTTTCCTAGCAAACCAGCTGCCTTGTGTCAGCCCCTTGTTCCTCCTGTCTCTCTCACACTGACTCTTTGGAGCATCACTGTCATGCTGTCATGATGGATGAATTCCTCTCAATGTCACGCCATGCTGACTTTGAGGCAATTAATCACAACCCCAAATTACAGGAGGACACTATATCTGGAAATAGTGATGCATTTTGGTATCAGCTGAAGGAAACATCTTATAATGGTATAATTTTTGTATCATCAGTGAGGAGAAGTGTATTATTTAAACTTAAATCCTGTAAGGAGACATACAGGTGCACCCTGTAGTTTTGAGCAAGCTCCAACAAAATCAGTGGTGTGCAGAGGTTCTCAAGAGTATGCTGCTTTTATTCCTGATCAGTGTGAAATCATCACCCATTTTCCTCCTCAGAAATTCTGTTTGGTTTCTCATCTACAGGGTATGCTTGTACAAATTTGCCTGTTCAGTCCTATCATACAGACAAACTATTTTTATTGGTTTCCCTCTGATTGTCTTTCTTAACACCATACATTTCTCTGAACAGTCTAAGTCTTTATAATCAGAGCAGCTAATCCCCCAAGGTATATGTTGCCAAATATAGATGCATGCATGTAGACGTGTGCGTGTTTACAGTGATAAGGAATATAACCATATGGATTGATAGAAAAACACCGTTTCTGGTGGATGATGTGCTGTGCTGGTAGAAACACAGAACTCTGTTCTTTGAATGCTGGTCTCTACAGTAGCAAATTCATTTAAGTTTATCCATAAGTATTCTCCACTTCTATTTAGAAGGTGTTTATAACATTTGACCTGACTTATTTCTTATGCCTCTATTTTCAGGAAATACTTCAGGAGTTTCTTCTGTTCTGGGGAGCACAACCATTGCTGGAACATAAAGAATTTCTACTTCGTGAACCACACAGGAAAGATTCATGAAGAAATCACTGACACAGAGAGCACCAGTTTTCATCTAGAGGAGGCCCTGCATGTAGCTAGTGGCTTATCTCTCCGGGAAGTCTGAGATTAAAGACTGGCAGGCCGTAGATGCTCAGTGCTTATTCTCAGGCACCTGCTGACGCCTTGTGTACTCCACAGACAAACCAGAGGCAGTTATAAGAATACTGCCACTAATGTCATTAGACTCCTAGTGGGATACAGCTAGGTCCACAATCTGTGAGCAGGAGCATTCTCTGCAAGTGAGAAGAAGGACGAAGTAAAGAACTCTCTAAAATTAAATCCTTAAAAAAAATAGCATGTACTCTACCCTGACCTAAGCAAAATGCTGTACAAACTCAGGGCACTATGAATCAAAAAGAAAAGTGCTGGAGGAGAGAAAGAAAAGTGTTTCAACTTAAACTTTCTCTCTTCTGTAAGAAAAAAAAACACACCAGATATAGGAAGGGCTAGAATTGTAACAATGTGCTGAGCCTTCCTTGAGGCAGAGTGCTGAAACGTAAACTACTGCCCAACTGGGGGTGCAGGTCAGAGACAGTAGATTACACTCTCATTCCTTCTAGCTTCTGCCCTAGGGAATACCATAAATATCTTAAATGACCTCTTTTCTTAGCCACTGGTCTGGAAACTTGCACTTAATTAATTTTTCCCCGTTCACCATAAAGATCTAGGACTCTATCCAAGTTTTTTTTTTTTTAGTGAACATCCAGCAATAAAAGCAGGCTTCCCCAGGCTTAGCAACAGTTCATAACTGTGATTGGCAGCTCCTTCCAAAGTCTCTGCAGGTCACTCGGAACTCAGAATCACAACTAATCACGGGTACTCCAACAGGGGCATTTTCCAGGCACGAGACTTCTGCAAATACTTCTTTCATGGTCTTGCCCAGCCATACAGTTCAATTCAGCAGGAGCTGAATTTAACCGACACCCACATACCAAAAAGTCTAGGTAACTGGACAGGAGGATACTTTGAGCCAGCAGACTGTTAATCTTTTAGAAATAAATTACTATTAATTAAGCTACCTATTTCAGAACAAAGAGCTGTCTTTTTCTCTCCTCATCCGAAAAGGAGTAAACCCCATATTGTACATTTTCTTTTAGCTACTGACGCTACTAGGCTATGTGTTGCTTCTTTTACTTCAGCTAACCACCCCTAGCCAAGAATGCAAAAATCCCCTGATCAGGAGAGCAAGCAGGCTGACTCCAGACAACTGGTTATAGCACATAGCTACAAAGAAGACAACTTGCATGCTGCAGTTCATGTTTCTTGAGCAGCTTGCGTTCTCTGCAGTGACTAGATTATAGAATAAGTTTATCAAAGGGAGCAGACCTAAACAGTAATTCTTAGAGGAAATGTACATAAAACTTCAAATGCATTTAGCAAACATAAAGTCCCCTCAACAGCAGAACTCTACAAAGGCACAGCCGGCATAACTACCTCCCGTTCTTGGTGCATTTGAAATAACTTCAGCCTAAACAGAGCACCCAGAAGGGGAGAACATTTTATGTCAAAAATGCATAAATTATAATGGAAATCTAAGTGGAATGCTAACTAATTTAATCCCTGATACTGCAACTGCTTTACTCACACGTTTGTTTGCAAGACCAAGGTCTTAGCCACACAGTGAAGTAACTGTCAAGAGTCCTCTCTCTGAAAACAGGGTGAAATGGTTCTTCGATTATGGTACAAGAAACCAAGGGTTCTGTCAAACAGTAGTGATAGCCCTAAAATTCTCCACATGCACTTCTGAAAATGAAAGGTTGATTTATAAAACCTAGTAAAACTGTATGTTGAACAAAATAACATTGTATGGGTCTCTTTATGTGGCTTGCCTGGGCAACCAGCCAGTAGTCTGAAATAGCTTAATATTATACAGAAAACCTACCTGTAAAATCAATCACAATAAGTTCTGTGCAGGAAGCCCAGGCCAAGGGTGAAGTAGCCAGTTATAAAGCATTGTGCTTGTGTTAATAGTCTAGTCAATATGCAGTTCTTTGCTGTAGTTCTTTCTTTAGATTAAAGGTGCCTGACAAACCCCTGTTGGAAGCTGTAAGTTAACATCATGACAACTTCGCTGCTCCTGAGGAAAAAAGAAGAAGAAAAAAAAGTACTGGGATGTAAACTATGAAAACATATTTTTCATTTTTAGATAATATGGAAAGCTTTGTTCCCTCTCCACCCTCCTACCCCCCAAGAGGCATGTCAGAGTTTTTTATTTTTTTTTAATGAAGTATTGGAGCATGATAATTGATCAGCTTGAAACTGTGGCTGTGCCATGCTTCAGCCTTAACAGGAAAAGCATGTGAATTTGGTTATAAGGGTACTCTCCCGGCAAATGGACAAAATGGATTTCAACTCCCTCTGCTTGAGGCTGCAGTTGAAGAGGATGTGCTCTGGTTCTGAGTGCCATCTGAGGGCCAAATACCTGATTTATCAACCCTACCTCCTCGCAGCACTGTGCCGCAGTGTCTTCTGAAACGGTGGTGACGATTTCCACCTCATGGAAGTGCTGACCCTTGTATGTCTGGAGACTGGGCTCCAAAATCCTCTCCCCTGCTCTCTTATAAAGCTCCATCTCCAGGGCCTAAAGGGTGTTGACAGTATATGTTTTTTGGGGATGTGGACAGACGTCTGTCAGCATCTTTTTTGACGTGCCAAACACTTTCATTTGTGCCTGAATTCGCTCAGCTTTGTAGCAAGCCAGTCGATTAACCCCCGGTCACCCTTCACTTGGTGTCCACACCGAGGTGTCAGGACAACTCGTTTGTCTTTTCATTGTCTGTTTCCACACATCCTGGACCATGTTGTTTACTGAACTGGGTTAAAAAAAAAAATATCTAGGGAGATACTCAGGGATATCTAGGGAGATATTTCAGAGAGATAGGTCAAGCTGACTAAAAAAACGTGTCAGAAATTAGTTTTCTCCCATTTCACCTCTCCCCTACCCTTAAACAACACCTCCCTTCTGGCAAACGCCACGGCAGGGCCAACCCCAGCGCAGGGCAGCGCCAAGCCCCGGCACCACCCCGGGCCCCGCCATTTCCCGGGCGGCCATCTCAGGCAGCCGGGGCCCGGCCGGCTCCGTGCTGCGGCGGCGGCGGGGCCGAGGCGGGGCGAGGGCGGTGTGAGGGCGGCGTTTCCCGGTGCGGAGCGGGGCCGGCCGCCATGGCCAGGCACGTTTTCCTCACAGGACCCCCAGGTAATGGCACTGGCAGCCGGAGGAGCGCGGGGCGAAGGCAGGCCCGGGGGGAGCCGCTGGGAGCGCCTGCCGGGGGCGCCTGCGGGGGGCGGCCGCGAGAGGCTCCGCCTCAGGACGAGCTGTAAGGGTGGTAAATGGCCGGATCTGTTGTTCCGGCTGCCGAGCTCGCTTTAATAAAGCCGTGAGCCTGGTTCTCCTTCTTGTGAGCCTTCTCCTGATCCTGGTGTTGTCTGTAATTAATCTCAAGCGCTCCCCGCTTCGTGCTGCCTCTCCACCCCCATAAATAAAGGCAGGCGCTGGAGGTTGGGCCGACCCTGGCCTTGCCTCTGTTCATTCAATTGAAATTGAATGTACTCTTCTGATTAGATAAATGTGTAATTTTAAGCTTTCTTAAACTCTCTTGGAATCATTTTAGCTTACTTTGGCAATTAACTGAATGAAGGTAACCAAATCAGAGAGATCACATCCACCTAGCTGGATCAGTATCAATTCCCATGTAGACACAAGGCCTCAGGAAGACGGCGGATACCGATGGTGCCACGGCTGTTATTTGGTTGTTGTTCAAATGCCAAGGGTCCCTCTGGCCTTCAATTTTAAAAGTTGTGCTTGGCTAAGATGCCCCTGAAGCCACAGAAGGTTTTGCCTGTGGTATTTTAGCCTTGAGAAGGCTCCAGGGAGACCTTATAGCGGCCTTCAGTGTCTGAAGGGGGCTATAGGAAAGCTGGGGAGGGACTCTTTGTCAGGGGGTGTAGGGATAGGACAAGGGGAAATGGCTTTAAGTTAGAAGAGGATAGATTTAGATCAGGTAATAGGAAGAAATCCTTCCCTCAGAGGGTGGTGAGGCCCTGGCACAGGCTGCCCGGAGGAGCTGTGGGTGCCCCATCCCTGGAGGTGCTCAAGGCCAGGCTGGATGGGGCTTTGGGCAGCCTGGTCTGGTGGGAGGTGTCCTTGCCCATGGCAGGGGTTGGAACTAGATAATATTTAAGGGCTCTTCCAACCCAAACCATTCAGTGAGACTGACAGTGAAGTAGTTCCTAAATCTGCTTAAAATCTAGGGAAGGAATTTCCCTATTAAAAAGACTTCTGTTGGCATCTTTACACACATCACAATTCTCTATGTTCCTTGTCTCCAGCAATTTAAAGAGTTACTCTGCAGGATAATTTCCATCTTCTAAAGCAGATTTTCTTAATAAGAACGATAAAAAATGAAGTGCTAACAATAAATTCTGAGAGGCGACTGTCTTCTTTTATGCTCAGCTTTGTTGAGGGATGTTCTTCTAAAGCAGCAAAGAAGGGAGAGGGCTCCTTTGTGAGAACAGAGGGTGCCTGGAAGATGGCCAACATTCACATAGAAGGTACATTAAATTGTGCTAGGAGACATCAGATGGGAAGAGTCTTAAAGATCTTTCTTAGATCTGGGAGAATTGGTTATAGGACCTCAGCATAATTCACACAGGAAGGAAATTCAGGGCCAGCTATGAGACCAGGTTGCTCAAAGCTTTATCCAGTCAGGTTTTGAAAACTCCTGAGAATGAAAACTGTACAACCACAGTGCTCAGCCTGTGCCAGGGCTTGATTGTCTTCACGATAAAAAAGTAAAAAGCTTTTCCCTTCCCATATCTAGCTGGAATCTCTTTTGCTTCAATTGCTGTTGTTGGAAGTATTTTTTTGCCATGTGGGATCTGACATCTTGGGGGTACTGAGTGCTTCCAATTGCTAGGACACGAATCAAGTATTGCATGCTTAATCCATTGGAAGTCAGGCTTCTGGTAATAGCAATCAGTTTTGACCTAATATAAAAAGTGGATGAATTCATCTCTGATCTTAAAAGATAGCGAAGAGCAGTGATAAAGAAAAGGAGATTGATCAGTCAGCCTCGTAGCTAGCTTGGATATCAGTTGTGTAACGGTGTGGCTCCCAGCATGGGCTAATCTCCTGTGTATTTGCCCGTCGCAGGGCAAGCTTCGTGGCCTGTCCAGACACTAAGTGAACAAGTTCAGTGGTAGCCTGGGATGTTTTTACTGTTCTGTTGTGACTTCACTGTAGGCATACTTCTTAAAGACTAATAAAACATGGTGTTGGTACAACGTGGACTTTAAAAGGTGCTTCTGTACTTGCTTTTCCTACCACTTTTTAAGTCTGTAAATTGTTCTTAAAAATAAACACTGGTTATTTATTTATTTATTTATTTGTTTGTTCTAAATCACATCATTGCTGTGGTATTTAAAAAATAGGCTTTTTCCAAAGAAGATTAATCCTGTGTACCTTTTGTTTCCCCTACGATTTTAGGGATTGGAAAGACTACTTTGATCCAGAAAGTCACTCAGGCACTAAGATCCTCAGACGTTCCCATTGATGGATTTTACACAGAGGAAGTTAAAGAAGGTGGCAGAAGAAGAGGATTTGATGTTGTCACTTTATCTGGAAAACGAGGTCCTTTATCTAGAGTCAGGTACTGAAATTTTAATTGTTATAAGCAGCTTGTTGTTTTAGGCTTCTCTTGCGTGTCAATATGTTAAATGCTCCTCTAGAAGGCGATTACCATTGCACATATGGCTTTCATGTCAGGTTCTTTGTTCAGTTCTCATGACCTGGCCGATGCCTGCATTGTTGCATTGCTGCCTACGTCTATCGCATAGGGAAACATGGAAAATATGCTAGAGAAGGATGGTCTCTTTTAGTGCCCGTTTTACACCATTAGAGGAAGCACTGCTCAGCCTTTTCTCACAAGTCCAAGTCTCTTTGGGATACAGTGAATAGCTTGTTGTAGACAGAAAGGAAGATTATTTGTTTCCACAAGCTAATTGATGGGTACAAAATCTGAAAATTAAAGTGAAATTGCATGCAACATCTTTTAAGGAGCCACTGACTGGCCCACAAATCCCACGTGTGAATTTCAAGAAAAAGAGTGATGTATGAAATTTTAAGAAAAAGACTGATGTTTGCATATGTGATGCAGCACATGGAAACCTTCCAAATATTTTCCCAAGACCATTTAAGTGTTTGGGAGCCCATTCTGAGCCTTGGGCTACTGCTGTGCTGCTGTCTGTAATGTCATGTTACCTAATTCAAAGGTAGCTTGCATGCTTCCATGAACTGCAGGTGTTTATTTTGGTTTCAGTGCAGATATATCTGACAGCTTTTATATTCCTTTATCCTTCTATACAGCGTTCAAATTTAAGCTTGCATAGTACTGAAGGTATCCTATGGTATGTTTATTATCTGAATTATGCTATCTGCAGCATGACTTAATGTGTGGCTTACAGAGTTTCTTTCCTTTGAAGAATTAAGAGGAGTTTGACTTAGTGGGGTAACTCTTCTAATAAATGCACTTGAAATGACTGCAGTCAATTCTCATTAAACTTAGAATGATCTGTTTATGTCTTTCAAATTCAGTTCTGATTCTTCTGCTTCAAGACGTGAATATCGAGTTGGACAGTATGTTGTAGACCTCGTTTCGTTTGAGCAGTTGGTTCTACCTGTGCTGAGAAATGTGAGTATTACACTAAAGGTGCTGAAAAATGGATGCTTGATGATAATGAGCATTATCAGAAGGCCCTTGTACAGCCCTAGTTTTTGATGGTAATAAAGGGCCTCTTTCTTGGGTTTCACTGATACCGATTGACTTCAGGATTGGGAAGCTGAAGGGGCAGAGATCACTTTCCATCTCCTTGATGTGACATCGTCCTGTGACCAGGCTGTCCTTGGGCTGAGGGACAGCCGATAGGAAGTTTCTTCCCATACCACCAGATTCCATGTTGTAAGGTAAACAAAACGTACAGGTGGCTTGCCACACAACTGGCAGGAGTTAGTAGGTCTAAGAAAAAGGATTTTCCCGCTGCTCCTCTTATATCTCTTTTTTCCCCTCTCACTGATTCCTTTTGTCTTCCAGTAGAAGCATTGTTTCTTGAATCCAGTGATTATTTTTGTTTACAGCTACATAATTACTATTAGGTTTTAAATGTTACAGCAGTCTATAATTTGAGACAGGCTGCTGCACACTGAGTGTTTTGTGGCTTTTCCCTATCCTTCCATTATCCTGTTACAACAGTGCAAGCAATTATTACACTTGTGTCCCTTCTTCCTTCTCCTTCTTCTCATCCCAACCTTTCCCCTCTCCAAAATTAAACAAGAACAGACCTGACTTTGGCAATAACATATCATAAACTGTGCAGCAGCTGCTGAACAGTACTGCTAAAAATCGTGTTGTGATTTTTCTACACTGTCAAATCTCAAGGGGCCAAGGGAGAAGGGACTTCTTAATGAACTTAGGAAAAAAAAAAAAAAGAAAGAAAAAGAAAAATAATAATAATTATAAAAAGTAATAAAACAGAAGGGTGTAAAGGGGCTAAAACGAGATTGAGGATCAGATTGTTTTTGTCAAGGAAAGCTAAAGACTGAGAGGAGGAAAGTAAAGATGTTAGGGGCAAGGGAGAAAGGGAATATGAATAAAATGGGACTTTTAAAATATTTAACTTCACTGTAACTTGATCTACTGTTAGTAAATAGAAGGATAGCTTAAAATAAATAAAAAAGGCTTCATTAAGTCAGTGCTATACTCTGAATCCTTTTACTGCTGTCTTAATATATTTGAAGTTCACGAATGATCTTGCTAGAAGGGTATTAGCAGTGTTCATTTTTTCTGATTGTTTTATAGCTTTCTGGAAGTACAGGAGAGCAAAGAGAGGAAGAAAAGGGGCCAGAGGGGTAGGACAGTGCACGACCCTGTTCTCACTGAAAGCACCGTTAATCCATTTTGTGGGAATGTGGTCATGCGTGTACGTGGTACAGAACGGGGAGAGGACAAGAGAGGGCGAGGAAGATCACAGACCTGAGACGAGGAGAGGGAAATGAACAAGGCATGGTCTGGTTTGATCAAAGAGCAGCGGGGAGTGGGAAGGTGCCTGGTTAGGCTGGCAGGCAGCTTCAGCTCTTACGGTTTGGGTCTTGCTCGCTCCATTGAGAACTGGGATAGATCCTACAGTGGGTGAGCTCTTTGGTTCTGGAAATGTTACCGGGCAGGACTGAGGATTGTATCCAAAGCATAATGTTCTGTTTCTCTGGGGGTGACCTAGAGACTGTTGGCTTTTTAGCTGACTGATCTGTGAAAGCTTTTTAAATAAAACAGCAGCTCAGCAGGGACTTGGCTTGAAAAAAGTTTCAGGATGCATGTTACACAGCTCTTCCACTTCCCTGGAAGTAAATAGAGAGAAAAAAGCTGGAAATGTCCTGGTTTAAAGATAGCTTTAAAAAAAAGATAGCTTTTTAAAGATAGCTTTAAAAAAAGTTATTTTTTTTGAGGGAAATGCTGTTTTTTGCCCTTCTTACACTCTTTCTGATTTTAGTTTTATTTGGTGTTTGTTTTAGTTATGTGGTTGTTTTTTTTCAACTCTAGAGGCTTTCTATCACAATGTGCCTCTGCATTGCTTGCTGTGATGTCAGGTTCTAATCACAAATCTGATGTTCAAGTCAATTTTGTGGCAAGATACTATGCCAGAGCAATAGATCAGACAGAAAAGGGAGGCACAATGTGAAGGTGAATGTTACCATTGCTTCTGGAGAGGTCAGCACAATTCTGTTTGCAGTTTGGCTACTGACTTCTTGTTCTACTTTGGACAAACATTTTTGACCTCTTGAAATTTTACCATGATGCTACAAATTCTGGAGCCAGAGGTAAAGTCCTTGAGACCTGCGTGGGTCTGTCTGTTCGCTTCTCTGCATGCCTGAGTTTGCAGCATTAGGGGCTCAGCTGGCACAGGCAAAACTGCTTGCTGTATGATTTGATAATGGAAGAGTAATCTTTATGAAATCTGAAATCTTACTTACAACTTGGAAACTGAAGATAAGGGTATAAAAATTTGATTTAGCATTTCTTATGCTAAAATAACAAGGAGCAGGCTTCTCAATTTAAAATTGTTTTTCGAATGGCATCCTGAAGCTACAAGAAGACAAGATTCCAAATCTAGATTTAATGCAAGTCTTTTTTCAATAATTGTGCAGTGTGGATATTGATCTATTTGAAATGCAGAAGCCAATGTTTTGAGAAACAGGAGTCCCTCAGGTTTAACGAGAGTTGCTAGGTAGTGCAAAGTGCAGTTCTGAACTGTCACATAGCTCTTACAGGGCCAATGCTGCTTTGAAGGAAAACTGATATGAATATTTCCTATTGTAGTTGGTGTTTAGGTATTTACGCTGTCCCTGCATTCTCATCTTCCAACAATCTTTGCTGAAATATAAATGACAAACTTAAAGCCTGTCAGTCACCAACAGTGGCTTTGATTCTTCCACTTCCCCCAGAATTACAATGTAATCGATTTCTTGTGGAGGTAATTTTTATTAGCACAGAAACTGTTTCTGTTGCTGTTTCTAAGCTCTGTGTTGTTTACAGCCTGCCGATGCATTTTTCCACAGGTAAACCACGGCAGCGATTCAGAGAAAAAGATCTGCGTCATAGATGAGATTGGTAAGATGGAGCTCTTCAGCCAGGCTTTTATTCGAGCTGTTCGGGAAACGCTGACCGACCCTGGCACCGTGGTACTTGGAACGATTCCAGTACCGAAGGGAAAGCCACTGGATCTTGTTGAAGAAATAAGAAGTAGGAAAGATGTTAAAGTGTTCAATGTGAGTAACGTTAAATGTTCTTAAAGAGCCTTCTGTGCTGGGCTGCTGGTTTGTATTTGGCTATGTTTAAAAACTAATTGTTACTACCAGTTGATAGCTGTGGGTAGCTTGTATGAAATAAGTTTTTTAGTTTCCATTTGGTTCTTAATGGGCAGGTGTTCACCTTATTAAAAAAAACCCTCGCAGTTGGCACTTACTGTAGCAGTCTCACAGCTGGCTTTGCTTGTGAGAGGCCGTGGAAGTAATGATGTAGTTGTTTTTAAAGGTTTTCTTGCTGTAGTATTATTGCCATCTAAGTATTCATTATTCCTGAGAGTTAAACCTTTTAAAGTACAGTCAGATTTTTATTTTTTTTCAGACTGGTTTGCAGAAATATTACCAGTAATCGTATTCAAGGAAAAAAAAATAAGCAGCAGTGGGGTTTGCAGAAATGATTTCTAGAAGAAAGACACTTGTAAATGGAGTGTGCTTTCTCCGGAGTCAGTGAAATAACTTTGGAATTCATTATGTTGTTTTACAGACATAATTTTCAGGATATTAGGGCCTCAGAGTGCATTTCTGATCAGTTACAGAGAAATTCTCAAAAACTCACCACAACAGATCAGCCTGTTCACAGGAATATATGAGAGGTTCCCTTAACATTTCTAAGTGCCCTGGATACATTGCAAAACCAAGCTAAACACAGCCCCCGCTTTGATTTGTTTTTTTCTGCTCAGTGTTACTGTTTCTAGGAGAGAATTAAGGCATATATCCAAAACTGAACTCTCTGGATCTATAAATTAGGGATACAGTAAGTGGGACTTGGATGTCCCCAGTCGCTAGCAGGGGCAGTAAGCTGTAGAGCAGTACGGTGCTGCAGCCTGGTCTGCAGTGGATGCAGGTCACAGTGACAGCGTGTACTTGGTTGTGATTTGTTTTTTCCTTCCTCCTTCACTTGGATCACAACAACTCTGCCCTGAATGATCTTACTTTCTGCAGAGAAAGAAAAACCTCCATTTCCTTTTTTCCTCTTCAAAGTGACATTAACAGAACTGCAGTGCTCAGAAAAGTACCTCGGCTTTCTCCTAGTTGGTGGTCCCCTCCTCATCTTTACTTTCTGGTTTTTGAATTAAAAGCCTGTGTAAGTGCCGAAGCAGCCCTAGGAGCAAAGACAAGAGAATGTTCCTTTCCCCCATAAACATTTGGCTCCTACCTTTCCTTTCAGACACTAAACCCTGTGTTTCCCACCCTACAGCTGACGTGCTTGCTGGGCTACTGTCCAGGGATGCACATGGATGTGAATTCTCTGTGACTTGCCTTTTGGTGGAAGAACTGAGGGAGAGTTGGTGGCAAATGCCTCACTGAAGGCAGCAGTCATTTGCTGCATAGGATGCAGTCATGGTGAGGCTGTGGTGTTCCTTCTTCTCAGGGAAGAAGGCAAAGTGCTACAAAGCACTGCTTGGCTTTTCAAGGAAGCTTCAGAGCTTTCCACTGTCCCTTCGTGTCAGATGATGTTCTGAGGGCACGTGCTGCTCAGCCCCAGGTGACTGGGTGTGTCAGTCTGCCAGGTGCGTCTTTCTCTTAAATGTCTACAGCCAGCTGAAGTCTTGCTGTACATTTCAGTGGAGCAGTGTTTTCTAACACAAAAAACCTTTACTAAAAAAAAAAACGAGCCATCCTGTTTATGATGCTGAGATTAGAACGTGCAGGTTTCTTTGTTTTAGTACAGATTTCTCTGGCGGATCCTTCAGCCAAAAGCAAGAGTGTGAAACGTGGCAGGTTGCAATAGTTCCCCGATGACAAGAGGCCTGCTACGCTAAAGTCTTGTACAGGAGAGCATCTGTCTAGCTCCCGTGACACGCTACATGCTCTTTCCCAGCTAGTTAAAGCGTGTGCATGAGCAGGAGCAGAACCTGCCCTTGGGGAGTCAGCTGTGTTACTGGCTGAAGTAAATGCTGGATCACCAGCTACCTCACTGAAGGGCTGTGGCATGGGGAGAGCCTGGAGTGCCCAGAGAGCCCACGGTAGTTTTTTCTTGCTAACTTTTATGATGCCTGGAAGCGTGTAGAAGTAGGTGGCTATCTTCCAAAATAGCTCTGTCTGCTTTGTCACTTAGCGTGGAGTTAAGCTGCATTCAAGTAACTCAGCAGGGTTTTCTGATCCTTCTTTTATTGTCACAAGGATGGTTCTGATGTTTGACACTAAGTGCCTGGACACAGCTGTTTTGGGTTTTACAGCCCCTTCTGTCTTGAAAGCATATTCAGTTGGTGTAAATGGGTCCAGATGCCCTAAAAGCAGTTGAGATTCGGTCCCCAATGTTTAATTTATTTTATCTAGAGCACTTAACGATAGGGGATCTGATATTTAACACATTTTTTTCCATTGTTGCCCAATTCCATTTTGCTGAGAACTGAACTTTCCAGTGAAAGTACAGGGGCTCTTTTTGCACTGCCTGGCTCTGCGTAGTTTTGCAGACATGGAGTCATAAATAGGATCACTTTATCCCTAGCAGCTGGCATGATTCATTTTCTCCCATTTTCCCTTCTATTAATTTTGCTTCCATGAAACCCATGAGTGAAGTTTGGTTATTTCTGTCTTTTGAGACAGAAAAATAGAGTTAAATGGGTAGTAGGTGAGGTTCCAGTTGGATGCTCTCTGCTAGCACTGTTCCCTCAACAGTTCCTGAACTGTGAGGGGACGAAAGCTTCTGTCCTTTTGCATGCTTGGAGTTTAGGTGATCGTTTCTTCCAGATTACCTAAATGCTTAGTCAAAAGCAGTATCTGCAGTTGCTTTTACTCCCTAAGAAACTGCCCATCTCTTTGTACATTCAGCACGGATACTGGGAGACTGGTTCTGTCTGGGAAAGCTGCCTGCACAGAATGTCTCCAGATCTGAAGGGGAGGCTGGTATCTATCAAGCAGCCTTTGCAAAACACTCGTGAGAATTTCCCAGCACTTGGCACGCGCTCTGGTGCTCTCACTGGACTTCTGGCATGTAGGTATGGAAGAGGGGCAGATAAAATGCAGTATTGTTTTTGTTGGCTGTGAGACAGTGGGAAGAGCTATTAAATGTTCAGAAGGTCCTTTGAAAGTCAGGATGTCAGGACACTTGCTGTGAGATTTAGAGTTTGGCTCGTCTGTGCTCTGTGCCTTGTTTACCTCGGGGTGTCTCAATAGCCTTACTGAAGAGCAATTCCATTCTTTATTGTCTTGCTCTTTGCTGTTGTGGGCCTTTCTTTTTATCTTATAATAGCCTTGGAACAATACTCAATAAAAACAGCAACTTCCAGGCAGATCTTCCCAGTCCTTTCCTGTTTTTTTTTTAACATCGCTTTTTCATCAGTCCCATGTTGATCTGCTCTCTTGAATTCAGGTGCCATAGGTGAGACCGCTGTCTCTAGGTTTATAGGGCAGCTTTCCAGCATTTGGGTAGGATGTCTGTGACTGAATAGCAATAGATGCCTGGGGTTAAATTCTTCATGTAGGACTGTCACCAATCTGTTGTTGATGATGATAATAATAATAGACTTTCTCCTGTTCAGTACTGACCATAGTTCTGGAAGGAATACAGACCCACATGCTCAGGTATTAAGTGCAGCTACAGGGAATGCAATGAAACCTTGCTGGTGGAGAGCTTCATGCCATCTATACTGGGGTTTCTTGTCTGCACCACCCAGCCCTCTCCCCAGGTTTTGGTTGGTCATGCTGTGGCCACTCACGTACATAATGTGGGTCACCAGGCTCTGCATGAGGGCAGGGTCATTCAAGAAGGGGTAATTTGCACCCCCAGCCCCACCGTTCTGTGCTCTGTCACTGCTGTACCCGGGAGCTGAGCTGGCAATGCTTCTTTGGCAATTCACAGTGGCTGCAGGTGCTGCGACACTGGTGGACCCAGAAAAAACACTGGACTGTGGATTTCCACACGGGCTCTTCTTAATGCCCAGCATTGCCACAGACTATCAAACCAAGGACATGCCTCAGTGCAACACAGAAGCCCCCCAGCTTCTTCAGGTAGTCTTAGTTCTCTTTCAAGGCATTTCTGTCCTGCAGTGCTAAGGTTTCTAAGTACACAGTTGTGCTGTTAAGCCTGTTTTAATTTTTTCACTGAAGATGTTTTTGACTCAGGCTGTCATCCCTGGAAATAAAATCTTCTCAAGCATAAGAACTCCACTTTATAGTAGAAAAATGATGCTTGGTAATCAAAAAGGATTTCTAGTAATGACAAAAGTACACAGAGCTTCTTTGAGCAATTCTTGTTAGTTATTCAAGCCCTGAATAATACTGTAAAATGCCATGGGTAATTAAATCAAAAAGATCACTGAATATTCAATTACATATGCAGGTTTGTGGCTTTAGCTTATTGTGTTCTCAGTAGTACAAGAAGGCAGGTGTTCGACACTCAACATTCCTTCACCAAGAAAGAAATGCATTTGAATTTCTGCTTTGTTTTTTGGAGTAAACAGTGATGTAGAGGTTATTCATCAAATTACATCAGTTTTAATTTCTCTTTCTCTAGGTTAGCAAGGAAAACAGAAACAACATTTTGCAAGACATCTTGGCAGCGGTGGAGTCCTGCAGAAAATGAAGATCTTTTCTTGCCTGTAAACACTAAAGCCTTTATTTTTACAAAACATAACGCTTTGTGGATATTTAATCTGCCTTTCCTGCTGAAGCTCCTGGAGGCTTTACTAGAACTTCCAGGGTAAGCAAGGTAAAGCTGGTAATAGTCTAAACTGTGAAAACGAGATGGAAGGGTTCTTGTTCGTCCAGGTCATGAGCTGATCCATTCAAAACTTCCAGAGATCCGTAGTTAACGTGAAAATTTGACCTGGGTATTTGGAAGATAGGCGGTCTGACTCCGATCCTAGTTACACCACGTAAAAGCAGTTAGCTGCCAAATCTGATAAGAGATCTGAGTCCTTCAGAGTGACGAGGACTGTTCTGGCCAGAGAGCAGTTTGGGGTCTGTAACATCCCATGCAGTAATATGCGTTAAGGAACCAGAACTTAACCCCAGTGTAACAGAATACAACTGTGCCCAAAAAGTGTGTGTGCTCTGCTTGGCTTGTGTATAAATAAACACCGTTGTTAACTTTGACCTGGTTGAGGTGTGTCAAAATTTCACCAGGGGTGCTGACAATTCATGAGGTGGAAGGAGGGAGTGGATTCCTGCCCCCTATCCAACCGGCACCTCTCTCCTCAACTGCGTGGTAAGAAGGGCTGTGGAGAGTTCCAAGGAAATTTCCTGTAATCCCAAATGATACATACAGAATTCCACTTAAGGGGGAAACATAACCAACTATACCCTTTCTTAAGTGGCCCAGACAGTAGTTATGAGGGCTGCCTTTTGGGTTAATTTTAAAGTTTTAGATGGCAGCCTTGCTTCACACCCCTTTAAAAAAAAAACTTTAGGTTTATGGAGTGGAATCAAATCTTGACAGTTTATGAGGTCAGGATTGACTTAATGCTGCATTTGTCTATATGGGTTTTACAAGCCATCATGTTTACTGATACTTTTTTTTTTTGCTTTTTTTTTCCTTATTCAATTCTGTGCACACTTAATAGTTGTGATATAAGATGTGTGTGACAGTATTAGACAATGTCTTTTTCCTCTGAGGTTTGCAAATGTGTTAGGAAAAAGTTCTTGCACATAATCTGTTTTTGCATGTTACGAAAACAGAATTCCCTCCCAGGTGCACTCCTGTTCCTTGTACAATTTATAGTCATCTCTGGCTGTAAGATGTTAAGACTTCAGTTGTTCCTTAACTTTTTTCTGTTTGGTTCAACGACTGTTAAAGTGAGCAAACTAAAGGCATTTTCAAACATCGATTTTGTTTCCTATTTCTATGCAAACTGACACCAACATTTCTAGGGGGCTGGATGGGGACAGGAATTTTTTTACAGGTGCCCTGGAAACAGAAGGGAGCTTGCAGGGAGCGTCCTTCCTTTTTCCTGTGTTGGAATGCCAGTCTGGTACAAACCTTGTCCCTGCCCGGATGGCAGGAGGGACGTGCCATGTTAAAGGACACCGTGGCCGTGTTCCCTGACAGCTCCATGACAGTGCCATCCTGGCCACAGCCATTTGGATAATGGGGTTGCCTTCTTATCTGGGGAAAAGAGAATTCCTCTCAGAGATCCCCTCTGGGAACATACAGCTCCTGCCTGCTTTTCACAAAATAAGGCTGAGCCCTGAAGGTATTGTAAATCCACGGTAATTACCCCAGGCATTTTTCTCTGTTGTTAGACAAGATGGATGGATGGCTCCAAACCCTGTCTGTAAAGGACTGGCACTGAGAAATGCAACCTTGTCAATGCAAGATCATGTCTAGCTCTTACCCCAGCATTTACCAGTCACTGCCTGTGGTGGTGGTGGCTGCTGGGTTCTGTGTTTTGGATGTGAAAGGTCCCATCTTACCTGCTTGAGTCTGGTGACAGCAGTGGTACAGCTCCATTGCGCTCCTTGTGTGACAAGGAGCCTGCAGGGTGTTTGTTCTCTCCTTTTTGTAGAGGGCAGTGGTTGTGCTTGTCTCTTGGCATGGCAGCAACTTCTCTGTGTCCAGCTGGAGGCCACTGGCTGAATGAAACCATCATGTCAGGATTTGCAGTAAGAAAAGCAGAGGCAACTGCGCTATGCTACCTGAGGGCTACTGCAGGGCACTCAAGAGGGAACTCAAAACTCAACCTCTTTGCCCTTTCTGCAGCAACCCCAAAGCGATCTCATGCTGATGAGAAAAAATAAAACCTCTGACTGTTGCCACCCAGAAATCTGAACAAAATGAAGGCCCAGGTGAACCATGAGGCAGGATACTGCTTTTTAGTTTTTGTGCCTTATGCTAGCACAACTCAGGGGGAATTTGCCATGCTCTGCTGCAGTACTGGTGCTGGGTGGTTTTGTGACTGGCTTTCCCATGTTGCTTGGGCACCTTATCCCACAAACTTGTATTAATATGGGGTTTGTGCAGCTCATTTCATGTGCTTGAGATGCACGGATTTATGCAGTCATCCATATGTGCTCATGTGGGTTTTGTTTCAGATGTCCACAAACTCTTAGGCGGAGTTTGCATCTGCAACTTTACGTGTACGGGAGTAACAGTGCTAAGAGTATGCCTTCTAATGGGTGTGAACACATCACTCTTGAATATACTTGAGAATTGTACTGGAAATTGCCTCTCATAGTTAAATTGGGAGGTAAAATGAGAAGGGTTAGAGAGGATCATTATTTGGCCTGGGGAACAATTTGCTCCTGCCTTACTCAGGTAGTTTATTCAACAGCATAAAGCTGAAGAGACCCTTATTTAAGAAAAAATACACTGCCCAGGATTTTTGACCTCATGAAATTCTTCTTTCATTTCACTGTGTTGCTTTAGTTTGCTGAACAAGAGGACGCTGACAACTGTGGTTTTATTTTAATATACCACTATATCTGAAATGAAGTTATTGGAAGGAACCAAGGACCTCATTCAGAAAGGGGACTTACATAGAAGCCATAATCTAGGTATTTCTGAAACAGATATTTAAACCATGAAGCCTGAAAACTCCTGCAGTGGTTGCTTGGTGCTTTTTTGACTGCTTGTTAATGTTAAATGCAAAGTACTGTTGAGGCACCTTGTTAGAGGTGAAAGAATTGAGACCAAAGCAAACTTTGTCAGGGCTACGTGCCATAGGCTTTCGACAATAATTCTTTCTGCTCCTAAAGGCTGGACGTCCCATTACTTCAGTCAAAGAAGTTAAGCTGTAAAATATGCTGGAAAATATTTCTTTCAATGTTTACATAATTAGCAAAATTCTAGCAAGCCTTAAGGAAGGACTGACCTTTAAAGCTAAATAAAATAGGGATATTTGATACTTAGATAGAGGGAGGGAAGGGGTGTTTCTTCAGGAGTGATGGCAGAGCTCAGTTCTCCAAACTCCAGTTGAGACAGTTCACTTTGTCACTGTTAAGTGATACTAATTCCTCATACAAGGTGTATTGCCCTGCAAATAATGCCGTGATGCCTACTGTGGTTCCATAATTAGACTGGAAAAATCTTCAGTTCTCATAAGTTTTGACCAGTGTGCTGATGGTGCCTTGTACATGGTCTCATGGTAGAAGAAATACTTTCTGTAGTGAGGTGAGGGGAGTTAGTCAGTGGAATGACTTACCAACACTGGAGGTGGATTTTTCCTTCTCTCAACTGTGAATGAAACATCAGCCCCTTTAAATGAAAGGGTACTTTTTGCCACTGACATCAGGGGCTCTTGCCTTCTGCTACCTGTCTCAAGATGGGTGAGTCTTTATTTTGTTGATCTTACTTTACGTTCATCTTCTCTCCCAGATACGCCATGCTTTTAAGAGAAATAAAGAGACATTTTGTGGTCTGTGTTCAGCAGGAATTCCTAGATGATCTTACCAGTCATTTCTGGCCTTTAAATCTGAGACAGGCAAAGAAATGATTTGCCTGTTTCAAATACGCACCGAGGGAGAAAGTAATATTTCCAGGTGAAGTTAGTTTTTATGACACCTTGTGTTTACTTTAGAGGTAAAAAATTTATTGTCTGGTCTTGCACTAGTAAAATATTTGGAAAGCCTTGAGAGAACTGTAACAACAAACAGAGCATTCCCAATTCCCCTGATGGGCTAATTTTACTAATAGCACACATTTGGTGAAAATAACCTCTGATGTACCAGCAAGATTCCAGATGACAACATTAGTGCACCTGCAGGTTTTAATTGGTGCAAAAAAGGAGGGAATATGAGGTACCAATTATTCTCTCAGAGCCTGAGAATCAAGGACGTTTTTGGCAAGGAGGCTTCTAATTCCAACATAAAATTGCACACAGCATGGAATACACAGGGCCTGCATTATTTATCATGCATTAGACCACTTTTGACTTGTAAAACTCTGAGAAGGCTGAATGAGAGGTGAATCTTTAACACTGGACCTACTGCAAAGTTAATTATAAGTAATATGTCTGTCTTGCAGATTTAAGGATGTACAAGCACTAGTGAAACACTGTAATTAAATACCAGCTCCCAATCCAGGGAGCAATCTAAAAATGGCAATAATTGGGTAGTTAAAAAAAACACACAAAAACACCATGCATTGATGAGAAGATGCTTATTACATGCTGGAGAATTTCACTGGTAATTCTAATCTTCTAAAATGAGCTGCATAGAATTCAGCTAATCCTTAACTTAAATTTCCCAGCAAGAGAAGTGCAGTCACTTGGTGGGCTTGAGCCAAATGCAAGTGACGTTTCTTGCTTTATTCTAGTAAATAGCTCTTTAAAAAGCTGTGAGTAGCATTGCAGAGACTCCTAAGAACTGCATAGTTCCAGAATGTTACAGATGGAGGGTACCTGGCCATCTTGGTAGAGAAAAAGACTCAGTGGTAAGTGCTCTTGCTAACGTTTATTGTAATTGCAGTGAAGGTCAAGATTTTCTGTCTGTGGAAACAAGGCGAGCCTTTTCAGTGACAGTTCACAGCACACGGGTGTGTATATATGGATATACATACATACGTTTGTAAGATGCTTCCAGCATACCTGGTGAGTGCAAGCAGTTGAGCAATCTCTGGTTGGTTTTAGTAAAATGTTACCAAAATCTTTTGACTGGGTCTGGGCATGTTTCACCCTTAGGAGTTTTATCACCTGCTTTTACTGTGTGATGTGAACTAGAGCCTCTCTTTTGTGAAAAGACAGTATAGGAAAACAAAATGAGAGCAGGCAGTGAGTATCCCCCATTTAATGTGAGGGCTGAAGTGCTGTATTTGTGCTTGTTTCACCGTACGCTCATTAACCTCCTGCCTGTAGCCTGCTGTACTGTAGGTGTTCTCCCAGCTCTCCCGTTGCGAGGGCCCCATCAAGGCAGCGTGCAGAAAATCATGCCTGGTGTTTCTTTTCAGCAGTGCTGCTGTTACCTGGGGGGGCTCTGCCTCTTCATCCCTTCTGCAATTTCCGTGGAAGAACCGTGTGTACTGGCTGCTCTTGCGGCTCAGGTGATCTCCTCCAAGGGCGAGTTCATCCCACCAGCGATGGGAGCATCTCTGCTCTCAGGTTCCAGAACCAGAAAGGTTCTGGGCTGGCCGAGTGAGCACCCAGCAGGCTTCTCTCTTAGGATCCTGACAAGCGGCAGCTACTGCCACTGGGAAAACTTAGGACTTTACATTAATAGTCTGTTTTTCCCCTTGTAAACGTGAGTAGAATTTTGCCTAGATTATGCTGAGCATTATAAATAATCAACTTGTCAAGATCTGAAGTGAAAGAAAAACAAAAGATTTCTCAACATCATAAAGCAAGTGCAAATAATTCAATGTAAGAAAACCCCAAAATTGCAGCCACACAAAGCTGACTTGGATGGTTTTCTTTTCACTAGGTGTTATTTAGTTTTACTACTTATAATTTCTAGTGCGGCACAGTAGGAAGCTGAGAATGCAACTGTGCATCATCTAATGGTAATAAGACTTAGCTACAGCAGCCCTTGTTAAATCTTTCCTGTTAATTGGGACAAGCCAGCCTGGCTGCACATTGTGGTGAGGAGAATTAGAAACAATCTATGGTACTTACAGTAAAGAGGAATAGCAAGACACCGATAGCTGCAAATTTTTTAATTAAAAAAAAAAAAACAAACAATAAAACAAAACGCGCTCGCATGTGTGTTTATGCATTATAGTACAGTAAGGAGTTGTTGTAGCCTTTTGGCTTCCAAAATAGTCATGGATTCCTGTAAATCAGTGTTTCTCAAACTTTGTGAAAGCATGACTTCTCTTTTTGCCTCATCCGTCTTTATGCAACTATTAAATTGGCAGCAGCTCAGTTTCTCTGGGGGAGGGAAATCAGAGTGCTCTG